TGACAAACCTCGACAGCATCTTAAAAAGCAGAGACTTCACCTTGCCAACAAAAGTCCGAATAGTCAAAGCTATGGTTTTTCCTGTAGTGATGTACGGAAGTGAGAGCTGGACCATAAAGAAGGCTGACCGCCGAAGAATTGATGCTTTTGAATTGTGGTGCTGGAGGAGACTCTTGAGAGTCCCCTGGACTGCAAGGAGAACAAACCTATCCATTTTGAAGGAAATCAACCCTGAGTGCTCACTGGAAGGACAGATCCTGAAGCTGAGGCTCCAATACTTTGGCCATCTCATGAGAAGAGAAGACTCCCTGGAAAAGCCCCTGATGTTAGGAAAGTGTGAGGGCAAGAAGAGAAGGGGACGACAGAAGATGAGATGGTTGGACAGTGTTATTGAAGCGACCAACATGAATTTGGCCCAGCTCCGGGAGGCAGTGGAAGACAGGACGGCCTGGCGTGCTCTAGTCCATGGGGTCACGAAGAGTCGGACATGACTAAATGACTAAACAACAAAAAACAATAATACAAGTCAATGAGAATTAGTCCAGAGTTAACAAGACAAGGTTTGGAGACAATAATTTTGAACTTTGGGAGTACAGAGACTTTGTAGGACATATCTTCAAGCAGCTCCTGAAATGGTGCCTTTCTTACACATAGAACAGAAATGCCTTATGTAAAGCTGGGTATATTCTTGCTGATTTGTGTTTGTTTGTTTTTTTAAATGTTTATCCTTGGAACACTTCTAATTGTATTTGCAACATTCAAAAACAGTTAGCCCCACTAACCTCTGGTCTCTCCTCCTACCCCTTTAAATCCTGTATTTCATGTATGCTGATGTTGTGCAGGTGAAAGACACATACAGACACCTTACCTCTGATAGTCTTTACCCTGGTGCCAGGTAGGAATGGATGGAGATGTAAGACCAGGCTTCAAATCCACCTCACATAAAACAAAAAGAAAATTTCCTCTTTTTCTAGTGGTGCTCACCCTGAGATTTATCTCCCTATCTTGTGACCTGTATGGCAATTCAGGAAATACTCAGAGACCTGGCAATAGTACCTACACCATAAATATGCAGCCATGGAATGTAGTATGTCTGCAGTGAAGCAAGCAAGCAAGAAGTATTCATGTTAATCATGAGGCAGAAACATTGTTCTGTCCTTATGCTGTTTGGTAACCACTAGTGGAACAAGTCTTATGTCTTCATTTTTGTAAAATCAACCCTATCTGCCTTTCAAACCATAGGATTCAGTTTCTTACTACGCTTGACAACTGCTCTTGTTTTGTGATGTAAGATTGTCATGGTGTCACCATAACAGATGGAGGCAACCACTTAAAGGCGACAGGATGCCTAGAGATTTGTATATATAAGAAATATAATTTTACTGAGTTCAGTTCATATTAATATCAAGTGCTGTTTCATGGAATCATTTGGTACAGAGAGCAATAATGCCGTTTGACATGCTTTTAAAAGTTTGGAACCAAATAAAAGAAAAATCAAATGTTGCCCATAACCAGAAGACTCCATTGAAACCAGATTGTGCAGCACATTATTTAGAAGAAACTTTCCACCAAGAGAAGTGGCTTCATTTGGAAATCAAAAACACTTTCTTTGCTGAATTTCAGATCTAGGCTTTCATCTGATGCAACATGACTTCTCTGTGTTTCAGTTAATGGAACTAAACTGGATTATTAATGCCAAGGAACTGTCCCTAAGTTTTTGAACTTCCCAGTTCTTAATTTGAAGAAATCCTTTCCTCCTCATTAATGCCTGCCCTTTGATACTCCTCCTTGGTTGTTTTCTGGAACCATTAAGGGATTTCCCAAATTCTTTCTCTGTTAACTTGCAAGAAAGCAAGGGATATGTGGTAGCAACTGGACAAAAATAGCTTACAATACAATTTTACCCATCACCACTCAGAAGTAACCACCACTAATTGCAATAGATCTTAATTCCATGAAAGTATAGGATTCCAGTCTAAGAGGACTGAAAATCCTACCTCTTAATTTGGAAGATACCTGCCTATTATGGTCAAACTAAATAACACAGGGTATGTCTGTAGGCTGTTTATCCTAGCAGTAAGTTGCCTCACTCTGCATGTTGCCAATTAGCTCATTAATTGCCAGCTAGAAATCATGGAATGTTATGCCATTTGTCTTCCACAGGCATAATGAAGCAACAAGAGTTCAGTTCATAGACTGGAGTCATGACTGTCAGTGGCATAGCGTGGATTGCCGGCACCTGGGGCACCCTCTAAGCTGTGGACCATCAGCATTCGCTGAGTGCTGATGGTCCTCCCAGCAGTCCAGTATTGAACCCCTTACCCCACAAGCACATGTACTGTATTTTATGAAAATACTAATCTATTTAAGGTAAAATGTATTTAATGCTATTTTACTCAAATATATTTAAAATTGCCTGGTTTTAATTTGTAACAATATTGAAATCTACATTGTAGATTGAAATCTCTCTCAACTGACAGTATTGCTAGGTTGCTCTGTCTTCCTTGGCTCATTGTAGATCCCTAATCTCCAGGGCCACTTCCTTGGTGCCTCCTGCATCCACACTGCAATCAGTCTCATTTCCTAACTGCTGGCACTCCCATCTTTCTTTGCTTATTTTTGTTTTCTACAAGATGTCACACAATCATCTATCTGCACAAGGGAGATAAGCGTATTGTGATAATGGAGACCATGCCCATGGAGGGTGGCACATGACATTTTCGTACACATTCCACACTCACAATCCTTCTTTCCAACTTTCTTCTCCTCTGCAGTCATAGCAAGTGGGGCTGGCGCAGCTGGCATATTTGCCTCATAAATGTGCAGGAAAATGCAGAAATAGATCTTGGGTGTCCCTAAACTGCACAGCGTAAGTATCCATACAGCCTCTGACATTAGAGTAATGGTAGAATGTACTATTACCATAATTCACCTCTAGTATCCCATTCATAGCATAGATTTCTAAGACTTTTCCCAACTGCAGGAGCACTTGGGGGCATATTTGCCACTACCTCATGCCCTACTCTGCATAAAGACAGCTACGAACCAACACTGCTAATTAGGGTTCTGGGCACATTGATGCTGGGACGTGGCTCTGCAAGAAGGAAGCCCAGTAGGGCCGTTTGACCAGGGCCTCACCTCAGCCAAGGGGGCATGATCCTCCACTTTAACACTGAAGTGCCAAAAATAAAGCCAAATAAAAATATACTGTCATACATTCTACTTTTTTATAAAATGACATGCTATTCTTTGCATTTTTTAACCACTCTCCCCAAACAATGAGGGTCTTTCACCATGTAATATAGCCTGGTCCTCCTCTGAGCTCTCAAGAGTCCTTCCCCACAATTGCAGGACAGCAGGCTAATTTGGGATGGTGATGATAACACAAGGCAAGAGTGCCATCTGATAAGCAGGCATTCCTGTCTGCCAACTTTTGGAGAAATGCAACCGGGAGGGGGGGGGAAGCTCAGGATAAATGTTTGGGAGAGGAGAGGAGAGGCAGCTTTGCCTCCCTCAAAACTTTCTCAGCATCTCATCCTTGAGGCAGCAGCCTCACTTGCATAGCGGAGCCCTCTTAACAGTCTGCCAGAAGAACCAACCAATTTGGTATAATCCGGCTTTAGGTAGTTGCCTGTTCCTTGCTTAACAGAAGGAACAGGCAACTTGTTTATGATGAAATATAAGTTCAGCATATATTCTCTGACAGCTGTCAGGAAGGAAGGTTTTGCCTGTCTCTGTCACCAGTGTCAACACTGCAGTGATAAAATGACCCAAGATGGCTAAGAAGTGCCTGCTGGCTGCTTTTCCTAAAACCTATCCCCAAGCAAGCATTGCGTATAGTCCAGCTCACTCTGAGCTAGGCTCCCATTGGTCATGCAGGGGGGAAAGCGTCAAATCTTTCTGAGGCCCAGGAGGAACTCCTACCCGGGTGTCTGGCTCTTAAATATTCATATCAGATCGGGGGGGGGGCAGGAGGAATGAGGCAGCTGGGCAGAGATCCTGGAAAAGGAAGAGGAAGAGGAGAAGGTATTCTTCCTTCTATCTCTACAGAAGGCTGCCTCAGCCATTGCAGGCTCCCTTCAGGCACACCCCTCTCTCCCTCAGGCTGCATCCTGCACACACCTCCTCCCTCCATCACGTCACCCCCACCACCTTGAGTCCCTAAAGTAGATTTGTGTGGAGAGGAGAGGGAGAGAGAGAGAGAGAGAGAGAGAGAGAGAGAGAGAGAGAGTCCTAGCAGCTCCTCCAGGTCCTTGCTTGCTTACCTGCCTGCCCGCGCTTTCTCTGCTCCCTCTCCCCTTAAGTTGGGAGGGACTTCAAATCTGAGAAAGGAGGCATGACTTCACCTTCAGGAGCTACTGCCCCCCTTGCAGCCTCTCCAGTAACCATCCTCCAGCACCTGAAGGTGAAGAACACCCAAGGTGTGCCTTGGCTGGTGCTCCAGGATCAGAACCACCACCACCATCACCTCTTGCCAGCAGTTTGTTTTATGTTTGAAATTTGGCACTCCCTCAAAGAATCTGGCACCTGGGGCAATGGCCCCTGTTGCCCCCCCCCAGGTACACCACTTATGACAGTTGAAGTGGTATCACATTGCTTTAACTGTTCCATGCAGAACTAGTGTTGACATTAAAGAACAAGACATATCCTCATGCAAATTGTCTTCACAGCTTGATGCTGTTGACTCAAGTCAGACAGATGTCACACCATCTATAAAATACAAGATGGTGTCCACTTTAAGACAAACATTAAGCTACTTGTATAGTGGGATCAAAGCACTGTGAATGGTTTGATTTAAATTTGTTTACTTCAGAGTCGTGAATTAATTGACTAATTTGGATATCTAATTAATTCAACTAGCTGCTAGATATAAATTGCCCATTAGGAATAAAAATACTTCCTTCAAAACACAACAACAAGATTCCCACTTATAACAAGGGAGTGATAGATTTAAATTGGCCCTAAGACATCAGTTTGATAGGTAAGTATAGCCACAAAGTGTATTTGTCTCATTTCATTGTATTTTATCTCTGTGCCGCTTTCCTCACATTTACTGGACACAAGGTGGCTCACAAATTATTAAAAGGCAAACCAGTTGAAAACAATATTTACAGTGATATGCAACCACCTAAAATTAAAACTTTTCATTGCCTAATTAGCTGTCAAAAGTGTGCCTTAGAAATATGGTCTTCATCTGTTGCCAGAAGGAAAAGAGGGAGGGAGGCAACCTAGCTACCCAGAGGAGGGCATTCCACAACCTGGAATCAGCCACAGAGAAGGCCTTCTTTTGTGTCCTCATCAAATGTGCCTGAGAGGGCAGTGGGACTGAGGGAAGGGCCTCCACTGAAGAACTGAGAAGGGTCTTACGGGGAAGACACGGTTCTTGAGCTTTTACTACGGAAATATTTTCCTTTTTGCACGTGACAGTCTTCTGTTGGGTATGATGTTTTCAGCATTCTGTTTATACCCAATAGCTTCAAATACCTATTGGAAATAGATTTAAGGATGTGGCAGAACTGCCAAAAGAGAAATAGCTGCCTAATAGATGCAGTATTTAAGTAAACGATTTCCACAAAATTAAAATGGAAACTTTGGCCATATGTGAAGATAGTAGTTTTAGCCATGGGAATCCCTCAGGAATGGTCTTCTTTGAAAAATGCTGATACCTTCATTCTCTACCATGTCTTTACTCAGTAATTTTGCTGTGGTCCATTAAAGACCCTAGGAACAATTTTAGACATACTTTAAACATTTCCAACCTCTGTCATAGCTCTTGCTATGTTTCTGGAACATGTTTTTAATTAAACAAAACAATCTGGCTTTTAGTATATATGGCAAGAGAACCATTGAAAAAAGAAGGACGAAAACAAATATATCTCCAGCTTTTATCCACGTTCCACTTTTGGTCGATCTTTCCTCTTCCTCAGTGAAACCATTCCAGTGGTCTACTCATAAACAGTTTTGCCATATTCAGCCAATATGGATCCAGGCTTAACATTCTTTACAAATTCACACCTAAGTCTCACTAATTACTATACATCTACTCCATATGTAACATAATCTGGATCCAACCCTATACCAGCTAGAAGTTACTGAATATTATGCTGTTTGTTTTCCATAGGCGTAAGGATTTCAGTCCATAGGTTGGAGCTATGGCAGTTAAAGTAGTACCAAACTACCAATAGTGGCAATGCTCATTTTTCATCTTCACTAATGATGAGGATAATTGCTCTTCCACTAGAACTACAGGGTTGTCT